ACAGTTGCCGCAGATTTGTCGGCTGCACATCCATGATGCGAATCTCCCGTTCCACCACATCCCAAAGATGCTCTATTGGGTTGAGATCTGGTGACTGTGGAGGCCATTTTAGTACAGTGAACTCATTGTCATGTTCAAGAAACCAATTTGAAATGATTAGAGCTTTGTGACATGGTGGAAGTAGCCATCAGAGGATGGGTACATGGTGGCCATAAAGGGATGGACACATGGTCAGAAACAATGCTCAGGTAGGCCGTGGCATTTAAACGATGCCCAATTGGCACTAAGGGGCCTAAAGTGTGCCAGGAAAACATCCCCCACACCATTACACCACCACCACCAGCCTGCACAGTGGTAACAAGGCATGATGGTTCCATGTTCTCAATCTGTTTACGCCAAATTCTGACTCTAACATCTGAATGTCTCAACAGAAATCGAGACTCATCAGACCAGGCAACATTTTTCCAGTCTTCAACTGTTCAATTTTGGTGAGCTCTTGCAAATTGTAGCCTCTTTTTCCTATTTGTAGTGGAGATGAGTGGTACCCGGTGGGGTCTTCTGCTGTTGTAGCCCATCCGCCTCAAGGTTGTGCGTGTTGTGGCTTCACAAATGCTTTGCTGCATACCTCGGTTGTAACGAGTGGTTATTTCAGTCACTGTTGCCCTTCTATCAGCTCGAACCAGTCTGGCCATTCTCCTCTGACCTCTGGCATCAACAAGGCATTTCCGCCCACAGAACTGCCGCTCACTGGATGTTTTTTCTTTTTCGGACCATTCTCTGTAAACCCTAGAGATGGTTGTGCGTGAAAATCCCAGTAGATTAGCAGTTTCTGAAATACTCAGACCAGCCCTTCTGGCACCAACAATCATGCCACGTTCAAAGTCACTCAAATCACCTTTCTTCCCCATACTGATGCTCGGTTTTAACTGCAGGAGATTGTCTTGACCATGTCTACATGCCTAAATGCACTGAGTTGCCGCCATGTGATTGGCTGCTTAGAAATTAAGTGTTAACGAGCAGTTGGACAGGTGTACCTAATAAAGTGGCCGGTGAGTGTATATATATATATATATATATATATATAGGCCTATGTGATCCAAAGTAACTAGTAACTAACTACTTGAGTAGTTTTTTCATTGGATACTTTTTTACTCTTACTCAAGTAACTGTTAAGATTATTACTTTTACTTTTACTTTGAGTAAATATTTCTATAAGTACTTGTACTTTTACTTGAGTACAGTTTTTGGATACTCTACCCACCTCTGATTTACGGTAGGAAATTTACAAAATATCTTCATGGAACATGATCTTTACTTAATATCCTAAAAATTTTTGGCATAAAAGAAAAATCAATAATTTTGACCCATAAAATGTATTGTTGGCTATTGCCACAAATATCCTGTGCATCTTGTGACTGGTTTTGAGATCACATATGTAAAAAAAAGAAAAAAAAAAGTAAAATATCTTATTCAGGACAGTACGACACAAGTGCATTATCAGTTGGGAATGAAAAACATGACATGATGTTGTGCAATAATCAACTCAGATTGATTATTGAAGAATTAGGATTTGAGAGCAAAATGTTTAACAGAGAAACTGGTTGTATGTTTTGTGGTGTAGTTCACGAAAATACATATATAATACAGTACAAACACAAAATGCCTATATTTGCATGTGTGGGTGTCTCTCAGGCGTCCCTCCAGCTTGTATTTTTGGCCAAGACATGTAGTTACATCAGCTCATTTAGCTCAATCATCTGTTTCTCTATGATTCAATTGCCACGGTAACGCCATAAAAATTCATTTTGAATATATGTCTTGCATCCGGAGAAAGTAGCATTATCTGAAGCACCTGCGCACGGTTTTCAGCTGACTTGAAGTGCTGAGTACACACAGCCTGAATAGGTGAAGGCAATACAACATTTCGTTGTGTTACAGGTAAAGTGTTTTAATATTATCCTTAACCTATAGCATCATAGTACTGCCATAACATTGCATCCGTACGATAGATAGATAGATAGATAGATAGATAGATAGATAGATAGATAGATAGATAGATAGATAGATAGATAGATCATTGAATTCAGGTGTTCAAATCACTTCCATGGACACAGTTGTATGAAATCAAGCACCTAGGCATGCGGACTGCTTCTACAAACATTTGTGAAAGAATGGGTCGCTCTCAGGAGCTCAGTGAATTCAAGCGTAGTACCGGGATAGGTTGCCACCTGTGCAATAAGTCCATTCGTGAAATTTCCTCACTACTAAATATTCCACGGTCAACTGTTAGTGGTATTATAGCAAAGTGGAAGCAATTGAGAACAACAGCAACTCAGCCACGAAGTGGTAGACCATGTAAAATCACTGAGCGGGGTCAGAGTATGCTGAGGCGCACAGTGCGCAAAAGTCGCCAACTTTCTGAAGATTCAATTGCTACAGACCTCCAAACTAGCCTTCAGATTAGCTCAAGAACAGTGCGTAGAGAGCTTCATGGAATGGGTTTCCATGGCCGAGCAGCTGCATCCAAGCCTTACATCACCAAGGGCAATGCAAAGCGTTGGATGCAGTGGTGTAAAGCACGCCGACACTGGACTCTAGAGCAGTGGAGACGTGTTCTCTGGAGTGACGAATCACGCTTCTCTGTCTGGCAATCCGATGATAGAGTCTGGGTTTGGCGGTTGCCAGGAGAACGGTACTTGCCTGACTGCATTGTGCCAAGTGTAAAGTTTGGTGGAGGGGGGATTGTGGTGTGGGGTTGTTTTTCCAGGGGTTGAGCTTGGCCCCTTAGATCCAGTGAAAGGAACTCTTGATGCTTCAGCATACCAAGACATTTTGGACAATTTCATGCTCCCAACTTTGTGGGAACAGTTTGGGGATGGCCCCTTCCGATTCCAACATGACTGCGCACCAGCGCACAAAGCAAGGTCCATAAAGATATGAATGAGTGAGTTTGGTGTGGAGGAACTTGACTGGCCTGCACAGAGTCTTGACCTCAATCCGATAGAACACCTTTGGGATGAATTAGAGCGGAGACTGCGAGCCAGGCCTTCTCATCCAACATCAGTGCCTGACCTCACAAATACGCTTCTAGAAGAATGGTCAAAAATTCCCATAAACACACTCCTAAACCTTGTGGAAAGCCTTCCCAGAAGAATTGAAGCCTAAACCCTACGGATCAGGAATGGGATGTCATTAAACTTTATGTGCATGTAAAGGCAGACGTCCCAAAACTTTTGGCAATATAGTGTAGATAGATATAAGAGTACTAACTGACAGTTGTGTTAATATGAAGAAAAAAAATGACACTGCCCAATCCCCATTAGTAGAGATGATTATGACCTGCCCTGTCACTTTAACACTCTCATTTACCAGATGGTTGCATTCAGAATACACTCTTCTCAAACATCTAAACTCGCTGAGTTTGAGTCATGGGAGTGATACAAGGCAACATCCCATTCTATACTGCACACACTTTAACTAAATGATCAACCTGTTTTAATAAATATAAACATAATGGGATGGCAATCCACTCTATGTTCATAATTAACTGTCCCAAGTTCTGTCTCTGTCTGTCCCTGAAAATGAAGGGTGTTGGATTAATTGGATTTAATAATCTTTCATTATGGCTGTAATTATATGTGGACTGTTGTTGAAAAGCTTAGGGCAAGTCATTTAAAAGCAGGAGATCTTGTGATAAAAACGATTCACACATAAGGTCTTCTCTATTGTGAGGTTGGAGTGGCACACAGGTATCAGTATGCATAAATGAATGGAATTAATCTCTAGCACTCATTAAAACATATTTGTCTGTGTGTATTTTTATGTGTATGTAGGCATATGCATCCGAATATTTTTTCTTTTTTGTTATTTAGTGTTTGTGTGTGTGTACACATGCATGTGTTTGTGCAGATGTCTAGTATGCTTTTTTGGGTGTATGTCAGTGTTTTTCTGTCCTTGTGTGAATGACTCATGGTGAGCGGTGATTGTTATGCTTCTTGATTTTCCTTCCTCCACAAAATTACTCTGATCATGGAAACTAGATCATGCCATTAGAATCTCTCATTATGCCATAATGTGTTGTGATTTTACACATTTCATTAGGAATTATTTTATAAATGGAGGCCAGTCTGTGCCTTGATTAGCTTTTTTAATTAGCCTTATTAATCAACATCATTTTCACTAATATATCCCCATTGAAACATCTTATGATCTATCAAATCCCCCCCCCCTTTTCCCATATAAACACTACTTTAATGTGGTTTCTGCACCTCATGCTTCAGTGTCCTGATCCAGTGCAGGAACCTGAGCATTGGGTTATTGCGGTGGGATTGTTCCTCGTCTTATAATGCTTTGTACAGTAATGTGATATGTCTGACTTGTGAATAGACACGGGTCATACTGCATTTCCCAGTGGAAATATTGTGATGAATTCTAGCAGATGCTCCATTAAACCACAGTAAAGTCCTGGATTGTATTGGTGAATTTAGTATGCAGTCACCTTGTTCAGTCATCGGCAATTTGTGCATTTGTGTATTTAATACTCCTTTCTTAAAGCTGCAGTATGAGATGATGTTTTACTGTGACTCAGTATTTGTCACTGGGAGTCATTGTACGTTAGATTGGTGTTGTGCAACATTTCATCTGAAACCATGGTATGGAATTACAGCACCTGTAACTGATAAACTACTCTTTAAATGAGGTTGGTTGGCTGCCGTGGGCCATGAAGATACGTATGCTCCCTATATGCATTGTTTAGTTTGTTTTATTCTATGCATTTGGTTGTCTCTGGCATGTGCATCTTACTGCAATTAACTCAATAAAGAGGTTCAAGTTAAATTTCATAAAGCTATAGTGAAATTACAATGAAGAACATTTACTATGTTTGCATTCACACTTTTTTATGATAGTGCATGGCAAGATAATATCTCTCATCTCATGCTCAATCCATGTTAACCTTTTTTTTTCTCTGTTGTCTCTTTTCTCTCCTCTGCAATCTTCAGTATTCCACTTCTCTCAGCGTTTTACCACAGCGGTCCCAGAGAGCTGTATGCTGATTCTGCTGGGTCTGGTTCTGGGTGGAGTGGTTCTTATCGCCAGCAAAAAGCAGCCGTACCAACTGGACCCAGGGCTATTTTTCCTCTTTCTTCTGCCAACTATAGTGGGGGATGCTGGGTATTTCATGCCAGCACGGCTCTTCTTCGACAACCTGGGTGCCATTTTGATGTACGCTGTAGTAGGCACATTGTGGAATGCCTTCTGCACTGGATTCTGTCTATACGGAGTCAAGATGGCAGGGGCCATAGGTGAGTTATTATGATGGGGTGTCAGATCGAACAAATTAAACCAAAAATGAATTCTTAAATTATCATAGATCATACAGTGCTTCTTCAGTCATGTAGGTGGAATATTTCCTCTGGTACTTCTGATGTACTGATGACAAAGCTGCTTGTTTTCAAACTTTTTATTAACATAAATTAGGAGTGTGTCAGTCTATTAAAACAATAAACCTTGATAATCCTTCAATAAAACAAGCTCTGTTGAGTTGAGGAGACAAATTAAAATATGAAATATTATGTGAGTTTATGCATTTTTAAAATGCTTCCTTGGAAGTTCACTGATACCCCCTAGTGGGTCCTGATCCCTGGTTGAGAGCCACTGCCTTTAGTAAAGCAATAAGCAATTTGAGGCCTTGTGTTACTGTGATTTTCATTTTCATTCCTTAATGCTTTCATATAATATATTGACAACTGCGATATTATAAAAGACAGAAATATTCAATATACAATTACATGCATTTTTATCACTAAAAACTTTTTTGCCAAGTTATTTAGTTAATAAACTAAATACTGGTTATGCTGTATTAATATTGCATTGACTCATGAATTATTAATGTGTATATTGTTTATGCATAGTGTTTATATATAATTTATATATATTTATATCTATTATCATGTATGTGTATATAATTAATTGCATCTAACATACAAGTTTTTGTTTATATGATATATTTGTATACGTAAATACCCACATTTTATAGATGCGATTAATCGATTTGACAGCACTTATAAATAAAATCAGCTTTTTTTTGCTACTAACATGACTTGTCTAATCACATTCAATATTCTTAACTATTTATTTTATGAAAATTTTTATTTTGGGGAGTCATCGCTGCCTAAAAATTGTTAGTATTGCATAGGACTTAGATGTGGTGTAAAGTTTGTTTTAGACCCAAGAAAGGGTAGGGCACTTTCATCCAAGGCAACATGGAGTAAACTTATCACAGGGAAAATCCCACTGGAGCATCCTGGGTTAAAGAGCCTGGCTCAAGTGCACAAGGCAGTTTATGAATCGACCATTGCAAGATTTGAATTACCTTTCCAGATCTTTAACCACTGTCTGTACCACACCACTAGGCTGCATGTGATATGATCAATTTGGTTGTAATTATTGACTGCAGCTTGTTTGCGTGTCTGTGTGCAGATGAAAAAGTAGATGCAGGTTTGATGGAGTTCTTGTTGTTTGGAGCTCTGATCTCGGCTGTGGATCCGGTAGCAGTGATCGCTGTTTTTGAAGAAGTCCATGTGAATGAGACACTCTTCATCATTGTCTTTGGCGAGTCACTGCTCAATGATGCTGTCACTGTGGTGAGTCCGGACTTTGTTAATCATCAAAATGAATTGTTTTTACTATTTAAAGGGTTAGTTCACCCAAAAATGAAAATTCTGTCAGTAATTACTCACCCTCATGTTGTTCGAACCCCGTAAGACCTTCGTTCATCTTCTGAACCAAAGTTAAGATATTTTTGATGAAATATGAGAGCTGTCTCACTCCTTCATAGGCTGCTAGGTAATTTCATCTGCCGGCCCAGAAAAGTTAGTAAAGACATCGTTAAAATAGTCCAAGTGACTACAGTGGCTCAACTTTAAAGCTGCCGTCGGCAACATTTTTTTTATCATATTCAGTGAAATCGACACTATAATCTGACAGAACAACATAAATAAAGTGGTTTTAGAAAAAAACCTGAGCTTCTAACTCCACCTGGAGCGTGTTATTTGTTTTGCAAAAATCCACAGCTCCCGGTTCATCATGTCCAATCAGCGTAGGGGGGTGTGAGATCTGACTGTCAATCACAGATCGGGCACACGACACGCCACCCCTCGCGCACGTTACAATCACATGCACACGCCTGAAGTTCGCGGAAGTTCGCGCAGTATCGAAGAGTGATGGCGGAAAATCAAGTAAGCTCATTTAGAGTATAAATGACGTTAGCAATTGTAATCTATTGGTAGATTAGCCAGGACAGCATACCTCCAAATACTCCATGGCGTTGATGGATGCTGATGAGACGGGCGCGTTCACTGAAAATCTGGTGCACACGCACTGACGAGCATGAACTCGGTCACGGTGGGAGGGTATCCGTTGATAGTGGGGGAGGGGCATGAGAGTTGTAAACATTCAAAATTTTCCTAAATCCACTCAATCTGCCAGACTTGCCGACTGGAGCTTTAAGTTTGTCAAGAGACGAGAATACTTTTTGTGCGCAAAGAAAACCCAAAATAACAACTTTATTCAACTATTAATTGTCTTCCGTGTGGGCCTATGAAGGAGTGATCCAGCTCTCAGATTTCATCAAAAATATCTTCATTTGTGTTCCGAAGATGAACGAAAGTCTTAAGGGGTTGGAACAACATGAGGGTGAGTAATTACTGACAGAATTTTAATTTTTGGGTGAACTAACCCTTTAAGCATGTCTGCATGGCTAACACGCTACTAGCAGAGTGTAAAGGTCAGTGCTGTGAGTGAGGAAATGCACTACTCTTCAAAAGTTTCAGGTCGGTAAGTAAAAAAAAAAAAAAAAGGGTTTTAGAAAGAAGTCTCTTATGCTCACACAGGCTGCATTTATTTTAATTAAAAACACAGTAAAAATAGTCATTTTGTGAAATATTATTACAATTTAAATCAATACAATGTTTTCTGTTGTAATATTTTTAATATGAAATATGATCCTTCTGAAATCAGTCTAATTTGCTGATTTACTGCTCAAGGAACATTTATTATTATTAGACATGTTGAAAGCCGTTGTGCTGTTTAATGTGTTTGTGGAAACCATGATACATTTACATTAATAGAAATTTCAAAAGAAATATGAATGAATAATCTTAAAATACTAATCTTTTGTAAAAATGCAAAAGCCTTTACTGTAATTTTTACCACTTTAATGCTTGAGGAATAAAAGTATTAGTTTCTTTAAAAAAAAACATTTAGAACAGTAGTCAATTAAAAAAATCAATACTTAAAACTTTATTTATTTATTTATTTAATTAATTAATTAATTGTTTGTTTATTGAGAGTTGGGGTTAGCTTGGGGGGTTTAAAGGCTCAAGGAAAGCTCTGTTCAATCGCATATCTGTTGTTATGGTAACCTTACACCAGAAGACTCTGTAGTGCTGACATGATTATGTTATAAGACATACCCAAAAGTCATTTACCTGCTCTGGAGAAGCAAATCGATAGTAAATGACTTAGGCTTAGACATTGCCACTGAATTATCCAAACCATTTCCCTTTTTCCCCTCGTATTTTTTATATAACTATACTCTAGGGTCAAACAGTAGCTTCTGGCTAGAGATAGGCTGATTTAGTGTTAATGGTTTATACTACATAATGTTGTTGGGATTAGATCTAATCCTCAGAAATATCAATTTCGTGCTTGAGCAAAGTTTGGTTTGTGTTGACTTGCCTGTATGTTCACTGGTATAGCAGGTCAGTCCGATTCATTTGTAGATGTGTCACTTGTTGACCCATGTGTAGAAGATTATGCCCAATGACCAACCATCACTAACACATTCCCCACATACTTCTACACATTCTCCCACCCTACAACATTTCAACATTACCAACATTATTCAACATACATCTGTGAAAGCATGGACATAGCCATCTATGCCATAATGTCATTCATCAGATTATTCCTCAGGTTTACGCTCAAATTCACTTTTGATTTTGAGACTTTAGCGGTGCCAATGTAGGAATAGTCATTTTTTTAAAGGGATAGGCCACTCTCTTCTGAGGGACAGTGTTTTGTTCACTGGAAGTCATTGGTAACCAAAACTGTTTGGTTAAGAATCACTCTTCAATATGTCTTCTTTTGTGTCTCACAGAGGAAAGAAAGTCATATAGGGTTGGAACGACATGAGGCTAAGGAAATTATGTCCGTATTTTCATTTTTGGGTGAACTGTACAGTGGTTCTCAACCTTTTTGACTCTAAGCCCCCATTTGTCCAAAACAATATTCAAAGATCCTCCTATCTAAGCTGATTTGTGTGTATATCTGTTGTAATATAAATAAACAAACATTACAAAAATTACATTTTTGCTTTTTAATTACGATTGTTAATGTACCTACTAATTTTTTTTTTGACATATTGGTGCCCCCTGGAAGTTTGCTGAGGCTCCCTAGTGGGCCCCGTCCCCTGGTCTAAAAAGTATGTTTACATTCTGCATGTGTACATTTTATTTTTAATTCGATTTGCCCTAGGCATGTTTCAATAAATAACTTTTTATTAAGCTCAATCATTGTCTTTTGTTCTCTTTATGTTACAAGCTTTTTGAGCCAGGTTATTACAAGATTTTTTTTTTTTGCTTAAATCTCCTTTTTATGCATCAGATTAGGTGTAAAGTTACCACAGTCACATTCTAGGGATTCTGAACCACCAGGTTCCCACCAGGCTTCAGTGTAGAAGTGGCTGCAGATTATAGAGTGATTGTGTGTGTGTGTGTGTGTGTGTGTGTGTGTTTACTGGAAGGTCAGCACTTGAGGTCGGGTTAGTCAGAGTAAGACTGTGATCACTCTCTGAATATATACCGATAAATGTGGTCATGACACTGATCGAGTTGAGAGCCACTATCTCAATCTGTCTAAAATGCAGTGGAAACCACTCAAACCAGCATGCACTTAACGTCTAGAGCTTGTTACTGAAGATCCTGCTTTGACTAATCTATTGTTAATTAAAAGCTTGTTGTTATTGATAGGCACTGAATAGCAGACTGAACAAAAGTCTTATCAACAAAATAAGTAGAATTGCTCATGGTGAACAGGGGGAAGCCTCTTCTTTTTGCATTTATTATCAAAGCTACTGGATACCATCATTCATTTAGTTATGTTCATAGAGGAGTGAAATGTAAGGCTCAGTCTCTTGTGTTACTTGTCTAATGGCCATATTGTAAGACAGGTTTATTATTCAAACCAATCATGAGAGCCTTCAGATGGACAATGCTCTTCACAAAATTGCACATCTTCAGTTTTGCTGCTGAGCTGCATATTAATTCATCTGATGTACACAATAGGAAATCTACTATTGTGGGGAACAATTGGAGATGCACTTTCAGTCTGTCCAAGCTCTTTCGCCATAGCTTTAAATGTACTTTTAACTCACTTTGAATACATTAATACTTTTTAGGGTGCATTAAATTGATCAAAAGTACTTTGAACTTTCTATTCATCAAAGAATCCTGAAGAAAAATGTATCACAGTTTCCACAAAATTATTAAGCAGCACAACTGTTTTCATCAGTGATAATAATAAGAAATAAGAAATGTTTTTTGAGCACCAAATCAGATCATGTGACACTGAAGATTGGAGAAATGGCTGCTAAAAATTCAGCTTTGCCATCACAGGAATGAATTGAATTTTAAAATCTATTTAAATACAAAACAGTTATTTTTAATTGCAATATTTCACAATGCTACCGTGTTTACTGAATTTTGATCTAATAAATGCAGCCGTGGTGATCATTTTTGAAAAAACAGACTTCTTTCAAAAACATTTTTTAAAATCTTGCCGACCCCAAAATTTTGAACAGTCGTGTACTATTCAAAAGTATAGTGTTTTTTATGTTTTAATGTTTATTGTATTTTTATCTTTCAGATTTTTAGTATTGGAGAGATGAATTTATAATTGTCTCAACAGGTCTTATATAAAGTGTATATATCCTTTGTGGAAGTGGGACCAGGGAATGTTTACACCGCAGACTATTTTAAAGGAATTGGTAAGTACAAAATGTGTCAGTTGTTTCTTTCACACCATATTGTTGAGTATAATATTTAAATGAGTTAATATTTACATGAAACATCTACTTTTTTTCATTCTCCTGCAATCATTCCAGTCTCCTTCCTCATTGTCAGCATTGGAGGGACTTTGGTTGGTCTCATCTTTGCTGTTATTCTGGCCTTTGTCACTCGTTTCACAAAGAAGGTGCGCATCATAGAGCCGCTGTTCATCTTCCTGTTGGTTTACCTGGCCTACCTGACGGCAGAACTCTTCTCTCTGTCTGCCATACTTTCGTGAGTTTTGCCACTGCCAGTATACTCATCTTAATAATTTGAACATATTTGAAAGTGAGTCTGCATATTTGTACACAAACTTGAAATGAATTCAAAAGACAAATAATAAACCAAATTAAGTATGAGTGAAATTGTGAAATGCAGAAAGATTTGTGTGAGTATAAGGAATAGAAATATCATTACCGTAGTATATAAAATCAGAAATCAATGGAATGTCCTCATCATGATAGAAACAGAATTGTGTGTCTATGCAGCTTTGTGACAAACACTGTGGTGGCTGACATTTAAAACGATGAGAAGTTAAATGACAGGATTAATGCTGAGAGGGAAATGATTCATGCCTTTAGAGTACTACAGTGAAAAATAGAGAGAAACATATGAGCATAATAGAGAAAGAAGAGTGCACACATCAGGGTCAGGGATAAATATTACATTGAATGAGAACTGTTGAGTGTGTTTGTTTGTGTGAGCTGTGTATCTGTGCACATGACGCTGAAAACATGTAGTTTATGAATATTTCCATGGCCAATTTGAAGAATTTTTCAGATCGTTTTCAAACCATGTGTGCAGAGCCGTAAATCTCAGTAGTTTTTGTGGCGGTCATAAATCACATAATGAGATTATGAGCAGAGGAATTAGATTATTAACCCATTTTAGTATTGCTTAGCACAGCAATAGAACAGATTTCAAGATGCAGAGTCATGCTTGGATACAAAAGATGAATTAAGGACAGGAATCAGTACTACTAGATATACTCACATTTGAATTAAAGTAAAAAAAGCCTGTTTGTCGGCTGATTTTGTAAGTATATACTAATGCAGTACTTGGAGCGCCCCCTCATGGCTCTTCATCACACTTTCTGCACAAGGTGGTATGGAGTTAGAAATGAAATAAGCCACAATAGGATTTAAAGAGAAGGAGAAAAGGTCACTAGAGACTGGATTATATGAATAGAATACAATATCATCAATATAATTCTGCTCTTTTCCTTTTTTCTGGTCTGTTCAATGAGTACTGCAGAGTGACTCATATATAACACAATGAGCAAAGCGCAATTCCTGTCTAAAGCTAACTTATGTATATGGAATGTAAATATAGGGATATCTCTGTCTAAATATAGACATCAATCCAAAGGTACAAAGGTCAGAAACAATTCATAAGGACAATAACAACCTATCTATTAAACTCTAAACTATTATATTTATGATTTTGACATTTTTATGTATAAAATACATCCATTGCATTCTATTATTCTATCATCATTCTTTATGTTATTGTTGATTCATGACAGGATGACTTTCTGTGGCATTGGCTGCAACAAGTATGTGGAAGCCAATATATCCCAGAAGTCCCGGACCACCGTGAAGTACACCATGAAAACCCTGGCCAGCATTGCAGAGACAATCATCTTCATCTTTTTGGGTATCTCAGCTGTGGACAAATCCAAATGGGCCTGGGACACTGGCCTTGTTGTCAGCACACTCATATTTATCTTAGTCTTCAGGGCCATAGGTAAGATAGAGTTCTGTTCTATTCTATTCTTTTCTATTCAGAAAACATGGTAGTCACATTGTATTTTTTGGTACTTTTTGGTTACCGAAGTTAAAAACGAAAAGAGAACTCTCACTAAAATTTCTTCACTCACAGCTTCACAATTAACTTTGACTTTGGCTACATACATAAAATAGTGTCCGAAACCGTGTGAGCTGAAAATGTACCATGTATTTTCATCTGATATTCATTTGATTACTTTTGTCATTTATAATGGGTTGAGATGCCAAATTAGTCTTGCACTATACATTTACAATGTTTAATAGCCTCGGCTCTAACACTTAGCATATGTATTTGCTCAAAATGTTATTTGCAGGTGTAGTAGGACAGACTTGGTTCCTGAACTGGTTTAGACTGGTTCCGCTTGACAAGATTGATCAAGTGGTGATGTCATATGGCGGTCTCAGAGGAGCTGTGGCCTTTGCTCTGGTGGTTCTTTTAGACAAAAAACATGTGAAGGCTAAAGACTACTTTGTGGCAACAACCATAGTTGTGGTTTTCTTCACAGTCATGTTTCAGGTAAATCTTTTAGAAATTTCTGTATTCCTTCCTATTTGCGTTTTCCCTCCCCTTCACGTTTACAGAATAATTTTGTGGTGATAGAAGTGTTCTTTCTTTTCTTTCTGTTTCATCTTTCCTCAGGCTGTGATTATTATCATTACTTGTATGTGTGTGGGTAGCATACAGGTAATAGCCTTGCAGGGATGACATTTCCCCTCGGCTGTGTTAAATTGCTGTTATTTCCAAAGCTATTCTGAAACAGAGATGCTAATTATGACGAATGGAGTGATTTTGATTTTGGTACTGCCTATGTGTAAGTGTCTGTGTGTGGCGCCCATCTGGCCAGTGCCAGCCTTTTTACCCTATTCCAATTTCATCTATTATTCATGGCTGCACAATTTCTATAGAGTGTCTATGCGTGTGTTGTCAACGTCATATTAGTGTATTCAACATGTCACAGAATATCTGACTGCTGAAATCATCAGTATATACTGCCAAGCTTTGGTTAGGAACTTATCTTTCCACAGATCCTACAAATATGCACGCTTGTTAGACAAGTATGCATTGTTATTTTTTCTGTAACAGGTAGTTGTGGATAAACTGTATTGAGTTTTTTTTTTAAATTGAGTATAGCTTTTAAAACATTAAATACATATAAAAATATATATACAAATAATATACTTTTTTACACTGTCAGTCTGTGTCAGTGGTGGGGATTTTTCAGAGAATCTTTCTACAGCTTACATCGATACGCCAGTAGGTGGCAACAAGTGACTGTCTTTACGAGTGAGTCACTGAATCATTAATCTAGCTGATTCGTTTAAAAACACTGATTCATTAAGGAACAAAAGAAGCGACTGCCTGAATTCTGAATTGCATATTAGCTACTCATACTATTTCTACCATACACATTTATGCGATTCAGAATTTAGCCACTGTCTTTATGAGTGAGTCATTTGAATCATTCCCTCAACCGATTTGTTTGAAAACAGTTGCTGAATTTGGAACCACATACAACTATTACTTTTTTTTTTTTTTTTTTCATAGAACAATATGGTAAAAAAAGGTAAGTACAATTAAATGTTGATGCTTTTTTTACTTTCACTAGTATTTATTTATTTATTGTTTAAGCTAGGGTACTTAAGATTTTTAATTGAGTACATTTTTTGATATATTTTTTGTATTTTACCTTAGTACAGTACGTTTCTCAGTATGTTTCACACGCTTGTTATTTATACTAAACTTGAATGAGTGAGTCTTTGAATCATTCACTAAAATGATTTGTTCAAAAACAGTGATTTATTCAGGTATGAACAGTGTTGGGGTAGTTACTCAAAAAAGGTAATTAGTTACTAGTTACTAGTTACTTCTGTAAATTGTAATGAGATTACTTTACTAGTTACTGCGTTTGAAAAGTAACTTCACTACTTATTACTTTACTTTCCTGTTTCTTAATTTATGGACAAATATCATAGCCCTATCATCACTTAGCCTGTCTACATAGTGTTTATTGTATAAATATATACAAAATAGCATGTAAAACCATATGAAAGAACAATATCCCTGTCTGCACAAGGAAATATATCTCACTGTAAAATCCACAAACAACAGGATAAAGGAGGCTATGGTGCGGCCATTTTAAAATGGGGTCAACACACAAGTTTTAAAACACAGGCTTTGGGAAACATGAGAATAAACTCTTCTCCTGAGAACAAAACAAGCTTTTTATTCGACTCATGGCAATAAAAAAAAAAAATGAAGTGGTCAATGAAAAATAATAAAATAAAGGTCACTTTTACATTTTTAATCTTAATTTAAAATGCATTTTTCTTGGCGATTCAATAGTCGGCAGGGGAAGCATTCCTCTACAATGAACCCTGCAACAAGCCTGTTCATTTTGTTTTGTGTTACCTGCTGTGCTCCAAGACTTGAGAAGAGTTTTTGTAACAGCGTGCGCGGCGCCGAATCCGAGGATGAACGACTTCAAGAATTAAGCCGAATCTGCCCAAGCATGTAGCCTACGTCTCACCGTGACCGCACCGGCACACAGTTTGCGTGTCTAAATCAGTTGCTTATGTTTACAAAATGAGCCTACAATAGCATAATAAGCATTTTTAATAGAAAGATCCATGTTTTATAAAATGTCCACGAAACTTAATGAAATGTTTAGTGAAATTAGAAACTATTTAAGAGATCGTTGATTTAGTTCTATAGTCTACATACATGTTTTTATATCCACATTTTGTTCTAATGTCACAAGTAATAATCTCAGGGTTTACTGGATTTTACGTACACGATTCTTTTTGTAGTGTTATTGGTGGTGATGTAGCCTACTAAAATAAACACCATCACGTGTGGACCTTTCTTCTTCTCACCGTTGATTCCTGATGGTTAAGAGGACAATTACTCGAGTCGCCCCGTCGTTTCACAGAATAGTACAATGGCGAGCGCGTCGAGTATAAACGCCTCGTCCGTTTGGGGAGGTGCGCGTGCAGTCAGCGGAGACTCGCGCTGCAGAGACCCCCTGTCTCCGTCTCCGTCTCCATTTCCCTCTCTCCTTCGCACCGGCAGCTATGTCACTCAAATCGATCTCTATGGCAACGGTGCGCACGCACCACTAGACAGAACTTTACACACAAGCAAACACGGCTTGGGTAACGCAGGAAAGCGCGTTCCTATAGTATAGTAAAGTAGTGTAGTTACCGATATTTTTAGTGTAATGCGTTACTTTACTTCGTTACCCAAAAAAGTAATATCGTTACTGTAATCCGTTACTTTGTAACTCGTTACCCCCAACACTGGGTATGAAACACCCCTATTGTGTCGCTCAGATGCGTAACAATTTGATTTTGCTTGTGCTTCATTTAAAACTTCTTTCACTGGTGGAGCAAAAATACACAAACTATCTGGCAATATTGTGTCTTAAATGTAAGTTTCTCAGGTTTAACTTCTTGTTTAGTGAACAGGTTTAGTGAACAAGCTTGTTTTGTTGCAAATATCACACTCAATACTCAATATCACAAATGTACAATATTAATTCTCAGTAATCACGCTGTTGGTCTAAATGCTGGTGTAAACAATTACAGCTGAGCTGATATTTGTAAAACAGCATTTTTTTTTCTAGTGTGATATTGCTTAATTAGGTAAAAGTTTATTTAAAAGACCAATTTTATTGCTTCTACCAGAAAAGTGAGCTGTGATATTTAGTTAAAATAATTTAGATGGTGCCCTCTCTCTGTTTTGTTGACATTTCCCAAATCTTCCCTCCCAGGGTTTAACCATCAAGCCTTTAGTGAAATGGTTGAAAGTCCCACGCAGCACAAACAGAAAACCTACCATCAACGAAGAGATCCATGAGCGTGTGAGTCAATACTGCTTCCAACACTCTCACCTCTCTTCCTTCTCTGTTTCTCATCACCTGTCTCCCTCTGTCCCTGCCTGACTGCCTGTGGTGAAATGTGTGAGTGATGATGTTGACCTTGCTATCTGTGCAGTGCTTGTGATCTGATGACTGAAACAGCAGCATTGCCACAGACAGACTGACGTTAGACTCTTCCCTCCAATGAATTAATCATCAGAGCTCCTTTTTTTTTGTTGCCTTTCCACAAATAGATGTGCACACATAGGCAGACGTCACACAGCGCCTTGCCATTTGCCTCATCCTCTTTCTGAAGGCCTTACACACTCTGCTGCTCTATGCACACTTGGGGACTCAGGACTACCTGCTGAGCTCTCTAAAACCTGGGCTAAAGATAGGCTGTAGTGTAGCTGAGCTGACAGAAGAGATTTGAAATGATAAAGGAGAGATTCTGAGAAAATAAAGGAGGATAGAAGAGACATTCTCTTGGAAAGCAGCAGTTTCCCAAAGTTGTGTAGACCAAACAGATTTTAACACCACACAATTTAAGATAGAATAGTGTTGCATACTTTAGACTGAACTGCTCACCAATTGCCGGTGTCTAGTTTATTTACAAAGAAATATTTTGAAAAACACCCATGTATTTTTTTTGCAAATGTCTGCAAAAGATGTAGGATTTGATCTCAAGTGCACTTAAAAATAGCCATGGATGCTAATAAAATAAATACAAATAAATAATTCAAATAAAATAGCCATAAATAATTTACAGAAGCACTGAACTTGTCTGTCTTTCTGTTTTCAGGCCTTTGACCACATTCTGACAGCTGTGGAGGACATTGCTGGTCTGAATGGCTACCATCACTGGAGAGACAAGTGAGTGGCACTTAGCAAAGATCGCTAGATAACTGTCTATTCTCATGATGAGAGATGATGTACTCGTCAATATACAAGAGCTAAACAAATGCAATATTGTGTTATTAAGTCTCATTGTTTTTTTTAGGTGGGAGCAATTTGACAAGAACTATTTGAGTAAGTTGCTGTTGAGAAAGTCTGTGTACCATAAGAGTGAACTGTGGGAGGCCTATCAGAAAATCAACATCAGAGATGCCATCAGTGTCATTGATCAGGTAAAAGGCTAATGCTGCCGTTTATCAGGTACACAGTTTGTTAGCATTATTTTTTATAAGGAAGGTTGCTGGAAAGTTTTCTCAGGGTGAAACTGGGTTAAGATTTTCCTAGGATTTGCTTTTCCTGTGTACCATGGTGTATACCATACTGGTGTGATGCCATCTACCTTTTTTGTAAGGGGTTCCATCAGTATTATTGTTGTATTCAAATTGTTGACCACTAGATGGTGCCCACACTCAGGTAAAATCAGCACTGCTGTGCAATACAACAATCAATCTGCTTTAAAACCACTATTAAAACTACTTTTATTTTCAGCTGCTTCTACTTTCTAAAGTGTTTCCTCATTCAGACTCACTCACTCAAACCTATGGATTTTAGCCAAGGTTTTCAATGAATTTTCATTTCTAAACGTTTGAATGAACATTCATCATTGTTGTAATGTTAGTTAATTTTCTTAATAAACGTTATACTACAGTTTTTTTTAAATACTTGGGTCTCTGTGGGTTGACTGAGAGTCTGGTTGGGGGTCCCTGGGCCTTTAAAGAGTGAAAGCCCCTGGATTATAGCATTGAGCAGAGGAAGCATTGAGATCTTTTCTGAGGCTCAAGAGAGTCGTTTGAGAAGAGCAGAGTATAATTCCTCCCTTTGTTAGTTACCCTGACGCCACTGTGTCTCTGCCAATACTGGTCCTTTGTAGGCATCTGATACCTGTCAGCTGCAACATCAAACATATCTACAAAAATACTGGCTGGAGATGGCATCATACAGAGAGAGTTAAAGAGGAAAGAGAAAGAAGGGCCTCCAGTAGATATTTTAATATGAATATATAGACATGCACACCGCCCACTTGATTCTTCTTTTAGTTAGTTTGTTTGTTAGTAATAATTCGTTTTTTCTCATGTTATATTTCAAATAATTTTTCTTCACGTCTCCAAAGAAACAATGTGCTTGATCAGAAAATGTTTATAACACCTGGACTTTTAGTCATGCATGACTTTTGTCTTCCAGCAAGTTCATTTCCTGTACCCTTGAGTTTCAAAGAGCTTGGCTTCCTGAGAGTAGTTATCAAGCTAATATTAGCACAAGATTGAGAGATAGAGAAACCTCTGTTCTCTTTCAGACCACCCAGTGAAAGAGGCACAGGATTATTCATTTCATTTTAGAAGGAAAAAAATAACAACAATTTATCAGCTATAATAATTAAAAAACATTAGTCTCTATATTAGTCACATTTCTGCATGTCTTTCCCATGGTTTTGTACTTACTTTGTATATATTTTCAATGCCCTGTGAAATAGGGCAAAACAGACTGTTTAAACCATTATGCTTAATTGCTTATGTATATCAAGAAAGATGAGTCATTAGCCATATGCCAGAGATATTTGTAGTAAGATAAACCATCTATATGGAGAATGAGCGGAGAGCTGGGTTACATCCACGCTGAGACTGCTGAATTATTGAATATAAAAGTGCACTTTGCATTGTATCTGTAATACCACCTGAGCATTAATTTGCAGTAATAATGGAGATAATAGGTGATACTAAACTGTAGCTACTTACATATCTGGGCATTTAAGGAACATGAATCAATAGCCTGATACTTTATGTATTAGCCAGTCAGGATCAAGTTTAATATTTGGTGCTATGTCTCTCTCTCAGGGTGGGAATGTGTTGACTTCTGCTAGACTCTCTCTGCCTTCCATGGCCAGCAGAACCTCTTTCCCAGAGGTCACAAATGTTACCAACTACCTGTGAGTATTTTGTGTTTGTGAACATCACAGAAAAAAAATCTTAATCAGCAATTTGATCTTGTTGCCCTTTAAAAACTCCTTAAAAATGTCATTAAAAAAAGATAAATATAAACCACCAAATATAAACTACCATTCAAAGGTAGTGTCTAAGATTTTTAAAATGTTAAAAAAAAAGTATCTTATGCTCACCAAGGCTGCATTTATTTAATCACAAATACAGTAAAAACAGTCATTTTGTGTGTACAATTTAAAATAACTGTTGTTGTATTTTATTCATGTGATGGTAAAGCTGAATTATGATAAATAGAAAGTTCAAAAGAACAACATTTGTTTGAAATAGAAATCTTTTTTAACATTATAAATGTATTTAGCCACTTTTGATCAATTTAATGCAACAGAAGTATTCATTTCTTTAAAAAAATACTGACCCCAATATTTTTAATGGTATCATGACTTGAGAAGATTTTTCTTACCCCTTTGGCAAATCGTTTTTTTTATCTCGTTTTAAGTGCTAAATAAATTAATAGAGATTTGTGCTCAAAACAATATAAAACTGTTTGAAACATATATACACTTGTGTTATATAAACTTAATACAGAATACCAAGGAAATGTTTCTTTTAAGAATGTTTAGACAAAGCAATATAAAATACTGATTATATTTTAATTAATACATAATAAAAGATAAACTATGTTTAGCATTTCTTATTTTCATAGGACATTTTTTGAATGTGTGTGCAGACATGTTTTTGTGCATATCTGTGGTGTAATTGTACATGTGTTTCCATGCATGTTGGTTCCTGTAACTCTCTGTGTCTCTCAGGAGAGAGAACGGCAGTGGGGTGTGTCTAGACCTCCAGGTGATTGACACAGTGCCAGGAGCCAAGATAGAGGAAGAGCTAGAGACACATCATGTGCTTGCTGGAAACCTCTACAAACCCAGGAGACGGGTACAGAACGTGCCACACGCACACCCTCTCACTATAAAGTGCTCTGAAGCATGATATTGCATCAGTAAAATGGGTGATACTTTGTATGATGTGTTTGCTTCAGTTGACATCTCTTTCTCTGTACCTGCAGTACCAGTCCCACTACAGTCGCCACTTCATGACAGTGGGTGAAAAAGAGAGACAGGATAGGGAGGTGTTCCAGAGGAATATGCGCAACCGTCTGGAGTCCTTTAAATCCACTCGCTACAAGCGTCACAAGAAAGACCGCAGTCAGAAAAAGGCAAGGGCTCAAAACTGCAGAAAACCACACTTTACAGTTTTTCTCGATTGCTTAAACACATTTCTTGAAACTATGCCTCGTATTCTCAAAACAGTAAACACAAATCCATAACGTCTCACCCAATTCCCCAAACATCCTATTTTCAGGTCAAAATGAAGCTCTACACTCAAAACCATTCACTCTTGCTGAAAAAACAAACTTTGCCCTCAGACAGGACACACAAGCCCTCTAAAACACACACACTACAACATAGTCTTACACACTGGTGCTATAAATTCAAAACAACATTTCCAAAACTGGTAAGTCATGTTGCTTGTGGTCCATCCATCTTTTTTTTTTTTACTCGCTTCTACTCAAGATGTGTGTGAGCATCATATGACAGTAAAAGAGCACACACAAACCTTATTCAAATATGGAATTGTATTGGAATGGTAAAGAGTGTTGGTATGCCTCCACTCAAGGATACAATATGATGAACAAGTCTAAGAATGTTCCACATATGGTTGAAATACCATCATTGGCCTAGAAAGATAACATTCTGGGAGTCAAGACTATAAAGGAGAAAGGATGCCCTCCCTTTACTGTCACACTCTGCAGCCACTCTGTGTGACTGTACGACTGCTGGCCTTTTCTTGCAAGAACATAAACCTCATCAAAGACAATTGGAAATGTTTGTCTCTTATTCAGTGATAGAAATCTGTTTGCCACCACACCTCCCTGAAGGTTCTGATGATGGTGAAGCGACGTTCAGGCGACGGTGAAGCGACTCAAATTTGTCTGTACTCGTTGCCCAGCCTCCCTCATAGTCATACCATGGACAAGTACATGGCCAACTAAAGTGGCTTGAATTTCATCCGAGACTGCTTGTCTTCTTGCCCTTGCCCTTCCTCCTCCTCCTCCTCCTCCTCCTCTTCCTCCACCTCTTCCTCCTCTTCCTCCACCTCTTCCTCCTCCTCCTCCTCCTCCTCTTCCTCCTCTTCCTCCTCCTCCTCCTCCTCCTCCTCCTCCTCCTCCTCCTCCTCCTCCTCCTCCTCTACCTCCCCCTCCTCGACCTATTGCTTAATTTCTCTGTGGATCCATTGTTCCAAAACTCAGTAAACTGATTTTTATCTTTTATAAAAGATTGTATAACCTTTTATCTATCTATTGAAGGATCTGACTGATGTGTGTTCAATTTGGACTCTTAGTGTTTTCACCTGGGTAATTGTGTGCTAACTGAGCTGAAACTGAGCTGACTTGAGCGAACAATTTTGAATGCTAGTGCTTTCTAAATGACCACGAGTTGTAGGCAATGAGAAATGAAGGGATTTGTGTGTAGAGTTTTGCTGTGACAGTTCAACAAATCTGACTAATGTGTCAAAACAGGGGAATAGTGTTCATAGTTCAGTGAAATGGGTGTGCTTTTTGATAAATGGCATTATGGTTTTGAAATTTTAGTTCAAAAGCCTGGTTATAGTGTTTAAGCAATCGAGAAAAACTGTAATTGAGTTAACTGAACCTGAGGGAGGCCATGGTAGTGTAGTACTGACAAGTATCCATGTATGTAAGGTCAATGTAGAGACAAGGTTAAGGTTTGTAGTTACTGATATATATCAAGACTCATGAGTGATGGCTTACTGCTGTGTGTGTGTGTGTGTGTGTGTGTGTGTGTGTGTGTGTGTGTGTGTATGTGTGTGTGTGTGTGTGTGTGTGTGTGTGTGTGAGAGAGAGCAGCTTCTTGAGCAGATAATAATGTTCCTTGAGCAGCAAATCAGCATATTAGAATGATTTCTGAAGGATCATGTGACACTGAAGACTGGAGTAATGATGTCGAAAGTTCAGAACTTTGCCATCACAAGAATACATTACATTTTATAGTATTCAAATATATTAAAATAGAATTGTAATATATTTTATTTGATATTGTAACAATATTTCACAATATTACTGTTTTTTCAAATAAATGCAGCCTTGGTGAGCAAAAGAGACATCATTAAAAAAAATCTTACAGAGATACTGTATGTATATGTATTTAATTTGTTCCTCTGATACATTCACTTTGTTTCCCCAAAATGTAAAAAATATTGATAATATCGTATTACAGCGGAAAGGGTCAGATGCAAAAGAGCAAGACGCCAATGAAAAACCCAGACGAAATGTCAGCTGGCAGGACAAAGGTTGGTCATTGGATCTGCTTGGTGATGATTATCTTTTAATGAAACTATTTTCTGATACTTAAAGTTCCCAGTGGATTGTGTAACATGTTTTTGCACATATGTCTGTAGACCCAGTTGTGGTTCCAATGGCACCTGAGGAGGATATACATGATCCTTCTGAACCAGATAAAGATGATGATGTGGGCATCACTTTTGTGGCTCGCAAAGCCCCAGAAACACCAAAGGAGAGACCAAAATCAGGTGAGATATGAACACGATTGTGGTAAGAAAAGTGAGAACTGATTGCTACCCATCTCCAACATTTTTATATCTTCTTGTGTTTATTTTTGTTTTCTCAGTACCAGCTGCCCTGGATGTTTGTCAGAGCCCGGTTGCCGCCCCTCCCTCACTGACATGTGGAGAGAAAACCCTGCCATGGAAAAATGGTGTGGGTTCTCTCCCTCCCTGTGTGTCTGTGGAGGCCACTAAAATTATCCCAATAGACCTGCAGCAGGCTTGGAACCAGAGCATCTCCTCTCTGGAGAGCCTGGCTTCTCCTCCAGAGCCCCTGCATCCACGTATTAGCGCCCTCTCGAGGCTGGGAGGACCCCTGCGGACCCCTGCGAAGGGAAAAAGTGGTGGTGGATCAGGAAGTAATACAAGTTCCCCAAGTTCAGGGCCGTTCAAGTTCCCTGCAGGGAAGGATGAAGAGGAGGAAGGCGCCCTCTCTCAGCAACAGCAAGAAATGCAGCCGCTAATGATGTCTTTGAGGCCACCGCCGCCACCTCCTCCGCCACCTGCTGCGCAGTCCGCCGGAAAGAGAAGGAATCCCTGTGTATATCTTAGGAGTCTGGTGACAGTGCCATCTTCTGGTGGGGAGCCACAAAGCAGGAAGCCAACCCAACTGTAGAATCACTTCCTTTAATCATCTTACTGCTGGCATTTACTTCCTCGGGCCAGAGTTTATTTTTAAGTCAGTAAATTCATTTCTAATGGTAATAGGCGACATGGGTTTAGACAAGGTTGGGTAGTTTGCTGAGGATCCAGTTCTTTTTGTGTACAGAGCTGTTCTTTCACACAGGAAAACCGTTCCACTTTCTATGTTTTTTTTGTTTGTTTTTTTTTAGTTTGAAGTGATCTGCCCTGTATTATGTACCCCTGTATGTAAAATGTTCAACTTCTGAACATATATAAGGCTAAACTACATTCCAAGGAGCCACTTTCCTCCCTCACTCACACATAAAAGAACAGCAAATCATTTAATTGTTACTCTCACAGAGTTTTAATCTTTAAATGACTCAATCCATCTTAAAACAAGAATGAATACTGTAGTACTGAGATATTCCCTTTTCAGACTGGGATGACAAAGTAACACTTTTTCTTGCAGCACATCACAGAAAGCGCATGAGGTTAGGGCCACACATCTTCAGTCACAGCCATTATCTCTCAATGGGCTTGAAATATGCATAACAAATCCCCACACACTACATTGGATGACAAATAATCCATGATGATTGTCAGGAGCATTTATGATGTGTACAGGATACATAAGCTTCTATGCTGCACATTACCTGTTCTCTGTTGTGTTTGGCAAGAAAATAAGGTCTGTTAATTTATTTTCTATTTATGTATCAACTTCATGCCTTTTATTCTTTTGCTTTCCGAATAACATGGTTTTGTGAATCTGTATTTTAATCTACAAAGCTACAGCTGTTTTAATAACCAAAGTGTTTAATGTTAATGTTTAATATTACATTTTTTGTCCGTCTTTACTTCATTTTATGACACTATATTTATAATCATGAATAATTAATTATGGATCATTAGAATTTGATGTGCTTTATCAGTTAGTAGTAGTAGGCCACAGACTCATCAATGTAATCTAATGCACTTTCTAAAATTGCTTTCAATTTGTCTGACAATGACAAACATATAGCATACTGTGTACATCTCATGTCTACTCCAAGTCTTCAGATGTCTTCATCCTTTAAGGTTCTTACTATACCATAAAAGGGTATACAGAATTTGGGTTTTGCACTTAAAATGAAAAGCCATTTAGGCCACTGTACCTGTGGTGTTCTTGAAGCTGCTGGCCCTTTGTTTTGTATTGCTGTGTAATTCTGTGTATGTCCTGAGGATTGTTGTGCCTTGAGAGGGGCGGTGTTAAATGTTGAGAAGGAGGCCTTGGTGATCTCTATTGTGCCTATATGAACAGTATGGAGTGGGTCAGCATTGTCTTACTTGAACTTGTCGTGTTAGCAAAAATGTTGCCCCAATCATTTGACCCCATTGAATTTGAATTTGAATTAAATGATCCACCTATTAAATTAAAAAGGAATTTTCAGATCTTTTCTCCCATGTGTTTTTTATACTATAGGTATGTTTATGTGGTGTTTATGTGCCAAATAGTGAATTTGAACAGCTGCAGGAATAAAGTTAACAAAAGAGGACAGCGCTTTTGAATGCCAGTGTTTGTCTCGTCATTGCATGTTCATTTTTTAATGTTAGATGAAAGCATATTCTTTATATGTTTTATTCTGTCATATTTAGCTGGTCTCAGCTGGTACTGTATTTCACCCGTAGGTAGATCCTCAGGGCCCGGTGAAGGAAACCTTTGGTGAATAATAATGAAGTTACATTCCCCCTTCAACCCAGGAGTCCCTGTGGTTTAGGCAGGGCTTTCCTAGACTGCCCTCAAAAGACTTCAGCGCATTTATGTGCTAATGTGCCATTTTCCCTTCCTCAAGCCCTGAAACAGATCCCAACCAGCAATGAAGTCATTGGCGAGAGAAGAAAAGATGGATTTGAATGTGGAGACTTTAAACTGATTCCACCAAGTGATTTTCCCACCTGACTAAATATCAGGGTTTGTTGTTTTTGCCCCTCTTTAGTAATCTAGAGATTTCACAGGCCATGTTCATAAATAACCATTTTATAGGCACTTTTGACATGAGTTTCATAAAATTAAACTTGAAATTTACTACAAATGTAATTTAGCGTCCAACAGTATATATCATTTTGTTAAATCTTTTCCCCCCGACTTGTCATTTTCCTGAATCAACAAATGTAATTTCCATCACATATCAAATTATGCTGAGCATCTTTACGTTCTTCAATGGTGGTGGTGGTGGTGGATATGACATTTTAAAAATGTGCAACTTTGTTTTGTACTTGTTTTGTTAAGGCTATTCATAGCTAGCATTTTATATATCCTACAATTAAATAACATTGTCATACTTTTTTGCAGTAATGTGGCAAACCTTCGGGTTTATTTTGGAAATACATTTTTTTTGGAAACAACTATTTACCATGATCTTTCATTATTTTCTTCACATATAATGTGTCATATTTCATCTCAATATGCTCTTTACTAAAAATGAGGCCTATGTATGTACTAATAACAAATTAATGGGGGAGGGGGAAATGGCAAATTTCTCCATTTAGCTTTTTTTTTTTTTTACAATAGTTTTTATGTTTTTATTATGTTTGTTAGCTATTTATTACATTTTAAAACAATTTTTTTTTTTTTTTTTTACAATCCTATAGGACTTGTTAAAAAAAACTCCATTTACTTTGCATATCTGCATAAAAATTCTTCCGCCAAGTATAGGTCGCTGTTTAGTGTTTCAAACATAGACAAAGCTACATCGCGCATTAATATTACGACAACGACAACGGCTTCGGAGTTTCGAGGAGGAGGATCATCGGAATGTGTAGTCCGAACTTTCCGATTAAAGATAAAGATAACGTATTAGACAACAATCTACAATGTTTTAGGCACTAACTAGCAATCTAGCTAGTTAGGAATAGAGAAAGTGAACTTGTTTTGGATTTCTGTCAACTTGTAAACTTATGTTTACCGCAGATCGCCTCAGGTAACGTTAACATAGCAGCTGTCAAATCCACAAAAAATGTCTTACGATAACGTTAGTTCACGATAGTGCAAGTGAATAAGCAGGCATATCCAACCTGCAAAGTCTGTAAGCTAAACTCATTAAATTTAAATGGGGAAAGTATGTTTTACAACTGGTCGCTGGTCTGAAAGGGAAGTTGTTTAGCAGCTAACGTTACCCGTAAAAATTGTGAAATCTGAAAATCAGGTGGCATTAGGCCACAACCTCCTTGGGACTTAACTCTTGTAAAGGTGTGGAAAAGGCCCACAGAAAATGTTGGGACTAGGGATGTAACGTTAACTGTGCTAGGAGAACCAGACAAAAGAGCCACATATACCCCTTTTCCACCAAAAACGAACTGGTTCGGAACTGGTGCTGGTTCAAAGTCGTTTCGGAGTTGGTTCAACTTGCGAACCTTCTCAGAACCTGTTTGTTTTTCCACTGACTAGAGCGCCCAGCGAACGACGTCGTTACGTCACTGTGTACGTCGCCATACATCTTAGCTAGAAACGCTTTCAAGTACAACATTACTTTGGGATTAGGCCTATCTCTAACTCGTGAACCAAGAAGGCTTTAAAAACAATTGAAATATGTAAGTCTTTTAATCTTTTCCTTTGATATGTAATATTTTCTGATTAGTTATGTACTCCTGTCTTGTGTCTTTTTTTCTTTCCATTTATTTGTTCTATATTGTGACTGTTTTCTCCTTTGCTTACATAACTTTTTCAATAAAAAAATAAACTAGAAACGCTTGCGCCAACTTTAAGCATAACAATTACAATGGCGGACTACATCGTGTTTCTGCAAATGTTTCTCCTGGCTTTGCGATCCTATATTATGTCAGAAAATATGTTATCTAAACCCGCCCCCAGCCCCCGACGTAAGCATGACGTGGTAAAAGAACGGTTCTAGTCCAGCAAAGAGTTGGTGCCGCTTGGAACCAGTTTTCCTGGCCGAGAACCGGTTATTTACCTGTCGAAACACAAAGAACTGGTTCGCGCGCAGGCACCGGCTCCGAACCGGCTCTCAAATACCCCTTTTCCACCAACGCATTTTGAGAGCCGGTTCGGAGCCGGTGCCTGCGCGCGAACCAGTTCTTTGTGTTTCGACAGGTAAATAACCGGTTCTCGGCCAGGAAAACTGGTTCCAAGCGGCACCAACTCTTTGCTGGACTAGAACCGTTCTTTTACCACGTCATGCTTACGTCGGGGGCTGGGGGCGGGTTTAGATAACATATTTTCTGACATAATATAGGATCGCAAAGCCAGGAGAAACATTTGCAGAAACACGATGTAGTCCGCCATTGTAATTGTTATGCTTAAAGTTGGCGCAAGCGTTTCTAGTTTATTTTTTTATTGAAAAAGTTATGTAAGCAAAGGAGAAAACAGTCACAATATAGAACAAATAAATGGAAAGAAAAAAAGACACAAGACAGGAGTACATAACTAATCAGAAAATATTACATATCAAAGGAAAAGATTAAAAGACTTACATATTTCAATTGTTTTTAAAGCCTTCTTGGTTCACGAGTTAGAGATAGGCCTAATCCCAAAGTAATGTTGTACTTGAAAGCGTTTCTAGCTAAGATGTATGGCGACGTACACAGTGACGTAACGACGTCGTTCGCTGGGCGCTCTAGTCAGTGGAAAAACAAACAGGTTCTGAGAAGGTTCGCAAGTTGAACCAACTCCGAAACGACTTTGAACCAGCACCAGTTCCGAACCAGTTCGTTTTTGGTGGAAAAGGGGTAAAAATGCGTTGGTGGAAAAGGGGTAATTAAGGTCATTATGAAACCGCATGATAGGTGATTTAGAAGAATGTAAATGGAGGACATTTAGGACAAAAGACACGGGCTCAACCAGGAGCCTTATTTCTTAGACCACAGAGGCCTGTTAAAGGTGGATTAACTTGTACATTTGTACAATTATTTTTTCCATTTGCTGGCAGTGCATTGTCCTCCACTCCTGTGTAATGACAGTTGCTTGTACACCAGGTTTTTCTTGTTATAAGATATGCAACAATAACTATATCAACTGTTTTTGCCTTAGTGGACATGTTCTTTTATTATACAGGCATAGACGGCACAAATATGAC